ACCCTCACAGCTTTGCACCGCCAGGAGTGCTTGCGGATCTCCCCGTGTGTGTTGTATACATGACAGCGTTAGCCAGCGTGGACCCCATCCACAGCGTTCATGCACTGTGGACGTACCAGCTGCGCGGTGTCAGCTATGTGGTAACTACGATGTAGTGCCTGGTGTGAGCCATGGACGTGGAACTATGTTGTGTAAGCTGTGGTGCACGCTACGTCCTGTAAGCTAGGCGTTGTGAGCTGGAGGTTGAAACTATGGTGTGTAAGCTGTGCGGAGTAATCTGTCGAGGCGCCCACGAGGCGGCACGGGCGGCAACGTGGCGGTTGCCCAACGTACCCCCCCAAGCGCGGGGCGCCCACGAGGCGTCACGGTCGGCAACATGGCGCATCCTCGCAGTGCGCGCACGAGGCGCCCACGAGAGGGCATGGTCTGACAACGTACGAACACCCGACACACCCAACCAGATCTGTATGTGAGGCAAGTCAGATCTCCTAGGTGCAAGGAGTGTTTGGGAAACATTGCTGATGACATTGAAGTTCATTGCTGATGATGATGCTGATGATGATGCTAATGATGCTGATGATGCTGCTGATGATGATGATGATGATGATGATGATGTGGATGGGGACGAGAAGGGATGGGGACGGCACTGGACATGACGGATGGGGGCGAGGTCGTCATGCTTCCAGGCGAAGCGCATCTATTAGCATACCGTTTATTTGGCGTGCCGCCGGCAGCTTTTCCCGTAAACAGCTTCTCTGTAAGGGCTCTGTTAATCTCCTCCAAGAAACGCACAGGTGGGTCGCTGGGTCCGGAACCGGTGGGTCGACGTCCGTTGCCTCCCGTGGCCTCCCGTTGTCTCCTGTGGCAGTGAGAGGATTCGCACTCGCATTGGTATTTGTATTCGTCTTCGCGTTCGTATTCGTATTAGTGCTGCAGTAGTAGTATTCATAGGCTTGGCATCCGTATCGATACGACTATCAGTCTCACTGATGTTCTTGGCATTCGCATTCGCATTCGCACCAATAGTGCTAGGAGCCGTAGCTTCAATATTCATTCAACAAACCGTATCCGTACAATTGTTAATTGTAGCTTTGTGTTTCTTCAGTTAGGTGATCTGCTGTCATGTCAGTATCAGCGTTCGTACTCGTATTCGTATTCGTGTCAGGAATCGTAACAGTCTCAGCTTCAGCAGTCGTATTCGCATTCGTTTTTTATTAGACCACCAGAAGGGGTAGTTGTGGTATTTTTGTATTGTCCATACTAGCAGAAGGCATTGTGTCAGACTTAGTAAGTGGATTCGTATGGCTCTAGCTTCGGTCATATGGTTCCCGATGTCGTAAGTGTGAGGTTCTTGCTGTTACTGGCATCCCCCACACCTCCTTACTCACGCTCGCTTCCTCAGTTCACTCCTACCCAGACTGGCACACATTCAGATGCACTCGCACTTAGACTCACCACGCTCAGGCAACTCATACTCCGACCAAATAGCACCCAGACGGGTTTTGTCCCTTCGTGCCCACATTGTGGTCATGTCTCAGGGGGGGGGGGGGCTGTTTGCTTGACAAGACTTGTCTTGTTTTCGCAGCCCCCTTCCCCCAGCGTGGCATATGAGCACGCCAAGGGGGAGCCGCCAGGGGTGGGGACATTGGCCCGTTTGCGCTCAGATTCCGGGGGATTTCCAGGCGTGTTGCTTGTTTGCTTGGTTAGGCTTCTCCCTTTCCAGAGCCCCATGCCTATCCCGATGTAGCAGGCGTGGCGTTTTAGAATCCCCAGGAAGAGCCGTTAGGGGTAGGGACAGTTGCGCGTTTGCGTTCAGACTGTGGGGATGTCTCAGGCGGTTTGCCTGTTCGGTGGATCAGATGTTCCTTTTTCAGTTGAGAGGGGCCATGGTTATCGCGATGTAGCAGGCATGGCATTTGAGCACCCGAAGGGAGAGCCGCCAGGGGTAGGGAGATCTGCCCGTTCGCGACCAGACGGTGGTGATGTCTCAGGCAGTTTGCCTGTTTACCGGATCAGGCTTCTCCCTTTTGAGGGCTCCATGCCCATCAAGATCCAGCACCATCAAGAGGAGCCCCCATGCGTGGGGGCAGTTGCCCGTTTGCGCCCAGCTTGTGTCGATGTCTCAGGCGATTTGCCTGTTTGTGTTACAAAGCTTTTTCTTCAGGGCCCCATGCTCACCGCGATGTAGCAGGCGTGGCATTTAAACAGCCCAGGGGAGGACCGCCATGGTTGGGGACATCCTCCCTTTCGCGCTCAGATGGTGGGCATGTCTCAGGTTGTTTGTATGTTTGGTTTGTCGTTTTTCTTGTTTTCATGGCCCCATGCCCATCGTTATGTAGCAGGCGTGGCATTCGATTACCCAAGGAAGAGCCGCCAGGGGGTGGGACGTATGCCCGTTCTTACCCAGATGGTGGGTTTGTCTCAGGCGGCTTGCCCTCAACCTCCTGAGGCAGGCTAATTTTCTTTCTTGATATGCTCACAGCCGGGAGCGCCAGGGCATGCGATGCACATCTTGGGATCTCCGCGTCGAATAATTGTTGGTTTTCGTTTCACTATGCGTAAGGGTAGCAGCATTCGCTTTATCATTCGCATCTGCATTTTGATCAGACGTTGCACGATCATTCACATAACATTTGTATGTGTACTCGTCTTATTTCTGGCAATCGGGATACTAGTATTGTCAGCGTTCATACCAGTTTAAGTCGTACTGTAATATTTCACGTTCTGATTATCAGTCGCAGTTCCCTAGGCAGCTTGTCTATCAAAAGGGTCAAAATACTTATCCCACGAGACTAGAAGGTGCGTTGACGGTACTTTTGGCTTTCTACTTGTCTATTGTCCGTTGTGTATCCAACTTGTCTCTTGTCCCCTTGACCTCCAGTCCTAAGCTGGTCAAGGTGCTTTAATTGTCCTTATCGCTTGTCTCCAGTCTGATGTTGTTTAGGGTCCTGTCCAGCAAGGGTGTCATTATAGAGTGTCCTTCGACCCATTGTGCCACTGTGCATAGGTCGTTGACGTAAAGCCTCTTTGCTGCCTTTTGGGGCTTCGTTGGGAGGCGTATAGGAAGCCCCCCTGGGGCCTCTTGGGGGCGTTCTTCGTGGGGCCTTTTGGGTGGTTTTTGGGGGCGCAGTGGCGGTCCGGGGGAGCATCGCGGGCCGGAGGGCTCCACAGGTCGGTTTCTTCTCTCACCTTTGGGCCCGTGACCGTGACCGTCACCACGAGACGGTCACGGCCGACGCGGCGGAAGGGGGGGGGGCCTGCCCTGGGGCTCCTGGGGCCTCTTTGGCCATCCAGAGGCACCGAGGACGGGCTCCCAGGGAGCCCAGCCCGCAGCACGCGCGCGGAGCGTGCGGACTCCGCGCGCCCCTCCCCGGCGCGCCGCGGGCTCTGCCCCCTGTCGGGCCCCCCCAGACCCCCGACGTCGTGAATTTTTCATGACGTCGACCCCCAGCTGTCTGGACCCATTCCCCGGGACCGGTTTTTCGTCCTGAGTCGTTTTTTGACGGTCCCGAGGGCCGGTAAGGGCCCCCAGAGGCCAAAAATAATGAAAAACCTCCCGTCGTGATTTTTTCATAACTCGAGGGGGTCTGGGCCTGTCTCCTGGGCGGCGGCTCCCGGCATCGCCCGGGAGCGCGCAAGCGCGAGCTCCCCGGAAGTCCCGCGAAGGGACGCAGCGCAGAGCCGCGCCAAGGCACACCCTGCTTGCCCCGAGGGAGGAGGGAGGAGGGAGGAGGGAGGAGGAGGAGGAGGAGGAGGAGGAGGAGGAGGAGGAGGAGGGAGGAGGAGGAGAAAAGGGAGGAGGGAGGAGGAGGAGGAGGAGAGGAGGAGGAGGAGGAGGAGGAGGAGGAGGAGGAGCAGGAGGAGGAGGAGGAGGAGGAGGAGGAGGAGCAGAGCGCGTTGGTTGCCGTGGTTTCGATGCTTTTGCTGTGGAGAGCGTGGCGTTCCCACACCACGAGTCCGTGAACGTCCATGGGGTCACAGGGATGAGCTCGAGCCTGGTTGGAAGCATCGATCGAAGCATCGACCCCGCAATCGCCCGCTCCTCGCAGAGGACTGAGACAGCCAGCACCACCCGCCACTCACCTCGCTTCGAGAAGTCTGGACCCCCGCTGGCCTGCGAGCCACAGCCCCTGACCCAGGCCGAAGGGAAGACGAGCCTTAAGTCGGGCCTGTCCCTCTACAGGAGGAAAGTTCAAAGGTAGTAAGAACATAATATGGGGACCATTGTTTGAATATTTTCTGGCCGTTTTGAAATATTGTTTGACTACTTTTTATTTTTCCTCCAAAGCCCCCCTGTAGGAGGACAGGCCCCGCTCAAGACCAGCCGCTGCTGGCCGCGTCCGGCCGCCTTCGCCAGCGGGCGCGTGCAGGGCGATCGACGCGGCTCGAGGCCCGGAGGCCCAGAGAGAGGCCCGACCTGCCTCGGAGGTGGATAGACCTCCTACCCTGACACGTCGATTGAGGAATTGGCCGTTTTCGGTTCGCGAGAAGGCGTCGCGGCCATCATTTTGCGGGTCCAGGTCCGTCGGTTTCGGTCCCAGGCCGTTTTCACTCCCGTCGGCGAGGCATCGTCGATTCCAGGCCACTCCGCCCCCTCTGAGCCAGTTCTCCTGGTGCTCGGCGGCTGCTAGAAAGGGGTGCTCCCGGCCCAGGGTGCCCCCCAGCTTTTCTCGCTCCACTCTGGAGCTCTTGGGCCCCCATGGGCCTCGTGAGGGGTGCTCTGGAGGCCTTTGGGGCCTCCTTTGGAAATCCTGGGGGCACCTCGGGCCAGGGGCACTTCTAGCAACACCGGACCTGAAGTCGGATCTTCAGTAATCTGTATGGGAAGCTCGAATCCCCTTCGAGCCTCTGGTCAGGGTGGTGGGGAATTGGTTTGTCCAGGAGATTTGCCAGTGTGCTACTATTTCAGCGCCCGGCTGGCTATACAGACGGCGCTGCTTGCAACATGTTTCTTCATCTTTGCGGCTTGCTCCTGGTCGCCCAATTCATGCGCCGGCGAGGTCAAACGATGCGTTGACCACCAGCCGTCGGTCGCTGGCCTGCCGCAGGAGCCAGGACGCGGGAGCAAGGGGGACCATGCAATTAGTACGTATGTTTCTGCCGCACATTGTGCACTGAGAACCACGGCGTTCTGAAGAATAAGAGGTGAACCGTAGACAGATCTTGAAACGTCGGCGTCGGACGCAAATGCAGGCAATCTGAGTGCAACTCCTGCAGATTTGTCGAGGGTTTCACGCCTACGCAGATGCCTGCCGTATAATGCCGGCGCCGTTTCTGTTTTGCACTTCCGAGAGCTTTCAGTGAAACCTGAATTCTGCGCCACCGTTGGGACCGACATGGTGTCGGTCGAGAACAGTTTCATGTCCTATGGTTGGAACCAGTTCAGCCGGATCGCTGCGCAACAGGCAGGTAATCCGGACAACAGGTGCCTCTCAGACATCTTTGTGTCCTCTTGGCTTCACCTTGAGCTGCCCCCCCTGTGACAGGACAAGATGGAGATCCTCAAGGATGGTATGCACGCCTCGCGCGATGTCTGGCAAGACGCGTCAGAGTTGAGTGCAGAAGGGGGACGTAAAGGCGAGTGGGCTTCCATAACATGTGGATCCGTGGTAATTTGCCATTCGGCCAGTCGTTGCAGGAGTGTCCAATGCACTCTTGAGAACTGGTCTAAGCATATCGCTGCTTAGGGAACTATTTTCTTCACGGTATAGTCGGATAACGTTCAGCCGCTGAACACAGCAGGCTCATAAACTCTTTGGCGAGGGACCTGAGATCCAGAGCTAAGGTGACACTTCTGCGAAGGCTCGGTGGCCCATGTCGGGGCGCAATGCTCATCAATGGCTAATTCCTGGGAGCACGAACCGAGGGGAGGGATATAGCGGGTTGAAGGTAGGTAGAGACGTTTGAAGGCCAGGAGGGTGGAGACGTAGACAGTAGATGGGTGGCAAAACACTTTCTGGAATTGTCAAGGTGCGCCGGAGAACCAACACCCGGATGCGCGCGCGGCGGCCCACGCGCATCTTGCGTGCAAAAAACGCAGCGCGCGAGGGGCCAGGGCCGCCGCGCGCGCGGCGGCCCGCGCGCATCACGCATGGAAACAGAACGCGCGAGAGGCGATGGGCCACCGCGCGCGTGGCGGCCAACGCGCATCCTGCATGGAATACAGCATGCGCGAGGGGTTAGGGCCGCTGCGCACGCGGCGGCCCGCGCGCATCTTGCAGGAAAAAAACACAGCGCGCGAGGGGCCAGGGCCGCCGCGCGCGCGGCGGCCCACGCGCATCTCTCATGGAAAAAGTGCAACGCGTGAACGGCAATAGGCAGCCGCGCTCGCGGCGGCCCACGCGCATCACGCATGGGAAACACAACGCGCTAGGGGCACGGGCCGCCGTGCGCGGGGGGGCCCACGCGCATCCCGCATAGAAAAGCCCAGTGCGCGAGCGGCCACGGGCCGCCGCGCGCGCGGCGGCTCACGCGCATCTAGTATGGGAGAACAAAAAATACTCGAAGAGCCACGGGCCGCCGCGCGCGGCGGCCTTGGCCCCATTCTGGGTGGGAACACGCACAGCGCGCGATGGGCGCGAGCGGCGGCCCTGGCCCATTCTGTGTGGGAAAACGCGCAGTGCGCGAGGACAGGGCCGCCGCGCGCGCGGCGGCCTTGGCCCATTCTGCGTGGAAAAACACAATGCGCGAAGGGCGAGGGCCGCCTCGCGCGCGGCGGCCCTGGCACACTGCGTGCAAGGCCGCCGCGCACGCGGCCGCCATGGCCTATGCTTTGTGGGAAGCGTACGCACGTACACTGTTCTAGTAGGACGAGAACTATTGATTCGTCGACCACAGCAGCCTATACATCTGCACGCAAGCAGTCCGAAATCATTTTTTAATGCATGCGCGTATACATATAACGGCGCACCGGGTCCGGGGGCCCGGGGCCGGGACCCCGACCACAAATGTGAGCCCCGGGGGGCCCGGAGGCTCGTCGGGGCTTGCCGGAGGCCTCCCCAGTCAGACAAGACGGCCCAAGAAGCGCCCAAGACGGCCCAAGAAACTTCCAAGAGGCCTCCAAGAGGGCTCCAAGATGCTGAAGATGGCCTCCAGACGTCCAAGGACGCCCCCAAGACGCCCCAAGAAGCCTCCAACATGCGTCCCAAGAGGGCCCCTAGACGCAAACATTGGCCCATTCCCTTCGTAAAACGTACATTTTTCACAAAGTTGCTTTTTGGGCTTTCCGACGTTACAGGACGGCCCACGAGGCGCCCAAGACCGCCCCAAGACGGCCCAAGAAGCTTCCAAGAGGGCCCCAGGACAGCCCAAGAGGGCCCCAAGACGGCCCAAGAGGCGCCCAAGATGGCCCAAGAGGGCCCCAAGACGGACCCAAGAGGGGGCCCAGAGGGGGACCACGAACCGCAAGCTCGAGCCTTCCGCCCCAAGAGGCCGCCAGGAGGCCCCAAGGAGGCCCCTCAAGAGGCCCCAGGAGACCCCCAAGAGGCCCAAAGGAGGCCCCGAGAAGCCCCAAATCGGCCCCCAAAATGCTTCGAACCTGCTTCCAGGAGGCCCCCGACAGGTTCAGAGGCTCCCGAGAAGCTACGTCAAACTCCCAGCGAGAATGATCCTAGCTAGAACCTAAGCGCGCGCGAAGCGCGCGCGTGGTTCTAGTGCGTGTATATGTTTACACCACACACGTATGTTCGCCCTCCGTCGAATATTTTCCAGGCGGAGAGTGAACAGCATAAAGGTTCCGGTGGCGTATTAATGACACTCGGAATCGGGGGGGGGTCATCATTTTAAATCAGGGTTTGGGCATTAGGGACCGACTTCGCTTCCCCGTGCCACCGGATCTGAAAAGGGGTCGTGCTGTCTTGTCGTGGAGCTGTTTCGCCTGCTTTCGATTCCCTGGCAGCCGTTTTGGCTCGGCGCGGGCTCGCCGTACCGCGGCGCGGCAGCCACGAGGCATGTCGCAGCGGGGCGACGAGGCGGTCCCAATCCCCACTGTCTTTCCAGAGGGAGCTTGCTCTTATTTTGATGTGTCCTGTAGTCGAGGCTCTTCTCCTCTGATGTTCGTGTTGGCGGCCGATCTTGTGTTTTCAACTCTCTCGGACTGCCGTCATTGCCAAAGCTGGAGTACATTGGGCGGTGGCCTATCCCGCGCCACGAACTGACCCTTTCACACGTGCAGGCGTCCCTCGCCCGACTTCGGTGGGCTAACCTTTCTGCTGTTTTTTTGAGCGTTGCAGTCTGTAGGCTTCATGCGAGGTGATGTCCTCCCAGGGCCCTCCAATCGTCGCCGTGGTCTCTTTGTCTTGTCATCCTCCAGGTACAGGAGCTAGAGCCAAACATTGTTTCAGGGTGTTTTTCTGTTGTTGTTTCCCCCCCTACCTTGACTCAAACGTCCTTTCCTCTGTAAGATGATCTACCCTAGCGTCCACTGCAAAGGCTTGTTTCAGTGCGAGGTCGGGGGGGAAGGGGTGGAAAGCACAGTGGATAGGCCCTTCCTGTCGCCCGATGCGCCTTGGGGAGGAGTAAGAGGCGGCAACACTCTTCCCATGGTTGTATTTGTTGCCAGCCGCTGCCCCTTGATGTGTTCGTGGGAGCGCTCTACGTCCTCGCTCATAGCCTGGTCGCCGCTCGAATCCGCAAAACCGCTAGATGGCTATAGCAGGGGACCATTGCCAGAGGCCCTTGGGCCCCTTGACCACAGCATGGCCCAAGCACCCCACCAGGCCCGACCACAAGATCCCCCCCTCGCGGCTCAAGATCGTTCCCAGATGGCCCCAGATGCCCAGAAGGCGGCCAGAGTCGAGTGAACGCAGTCCGACAAGGCTCCAAAACTGCCCCGGAGACTCCCGGGGCCAAGAGGCTCCCAAGATCGGCTTCCGATGGCCCCAAATGGCCCCGCGAGGGTCCTCGGCCGGCCCTCAGCTTGCCCAAGGGGCGTCCACAGCGACCCAAGAGGACTGCAGAACGGCCCGAGAGGGCGCCAGTGGGGCTCCAGGAGTATCCCAGCAGACCCGAAGCCGGCCAGACGGGCCAAGAGGGCCCCCAAACAGCCCAAGAGGGCATCCAGAATGCCCCAGGGAGCCCCAGGAAGCTCCCAGAAGAGGGCCCCCCGAAGCGCTCCGAGACAGCCCGAGGAAATCCAACCAACCGCCGCGGGGAGAACGTTTTCTTTTTTATCGGCCAATTGTGCGCCGCGTTTCCACAATACGCGACCACAAATGCATCTCTCAATGGCAGGGGGGCGGCGGTGTCTCGCCATTAGTGTCATCGATGCTCTGCTTCCTGTTCCTCAGCCTCCTTCGCGTTCTCGTCTAATGTATTTTTGCTGCTCCTTCCTCGTTCTCGTTCTCCCTCTTTCGCGGAAGCCTGCGGAGCCACAGCAAGGACAATGATGGTGGTACCAGCGAGGCAACATCCCCACGGAAAGAAAGATGTTGGCAAGTCTGCCACAGAGTATTTACACGTATGCACATATACATGTATATATACACGTGACTCTAGGTATACGCATTTACACATACACAACTTATGGTTGCCCCCCCTGAGATCACGCATATCACCTCGACTCGTATCAATGTTTTAGTGTACCCCATCTTCTTTTAACTCACCATTTTTGTACCCACAACGTCTCAGCAACATGATGCTTCACCCTCCTGACATCGGATCCCAATCAAAACGGGGCATCTCCCAGATCCAGACGATGCCGATTGACTTTGAATCGGATGGTAAGCGGAGTTCATTTGGAACGGGGCAGATCCCAGACCCAGAACATTCCTGTTACATGTGGATCATATTCTAATGATCTGCGGTAAGAAGAGAGCATACCCCAGATCCAGAGAATACCTATTGAATGCAGAACCATCGAGACAGCCACAGACGCTGCCTTTTAGAAAACGTCGTCGTCGTCCTCCTTGTCCCTCCTCTGTCTTACCTCGTCGTTCTCCTCCTCCTTCTCCTCATTTGCCGTTTCGCCCTCCGCATGACCTGTCCTCACCCGTCCCCGTTTCGCCGTTTTCCTCATGTGCTTCCTCCTCCTCCTGCTTCTACTTCTGCTGCTGCTGCTGCCGCAAGTGCTCCTTCCGTTGAGGGAGATGTGCAGTAAGAAGGAGTAGGAGGGACACCGATGGACGGTAAAACAACTCCCTGTTAGAAGGAGCAGACCCCAGTCCAGAGGATTCCTATCGAATCTCACCCAGGTGTTCATACGATTTCAATTGGAACTGGAAGTGGTCTCAGGTCTCGAGGTTCCCGATTGACTTTGGATGGGCTTCTGTGCAAACTTCTGTAGAAACGGATCAGATCCCATATCCAGAGGGTACCTATAGAGTTTGAACAGGTTTCTGATCGGATGTCACTAGGAACCGAGCAGATCCCAGATCCGGACGATTCCGGATGGATGTACATACGATTCAATCTGATGTCAATAGAAACGGAGCAGGTCCCAGATCAAACGAATCCCGATGGGACTTGAACCAGATTCTGGTAGGATGCCAACAGGAGAAAGCAGATCCAACATTCAGATAATTCCGATTTGATACGGGTAGGGTTCTCATCATATGTCAATAGAAACGGAACAGATCCCAGATCCAGACTATTCTCCTTTAATTCGTTTGGGATTCGAATCGAATTCCAATCGAAACGGAGCACTTCCCAGACACAGAAGCTGACGTTTGAAACTGAATGGGGTTCGAATCGGGCTCCAGCTGAAGCGAGGCAGTTCTCGGCTCCCGAAGGTCCTGATTACGCTTGGATCTGACTCCCCCTCGGATCCTTCACAGGAGCGGAGCAGATCCCCGACACGGCGGCTTCCCGGGTCGGGGATCTGCTCCGCTCCTGTGAAGGATCCTGGGGGAAAGTCAGATCCAAGTGTAATCAGGATCTTCGGGAGCCGAGAACTACCTCGCTTCAACGGAAGCCCGATTCGAACTCCATTCAGTTTCAAACGTCGGCTTCTGTGTCTGGGAAGTGCTCCGTTTCGATTGGAATTCGATTCGAATCCCAAACGAATGAAAGGAGAATAGTCTGGATCTGGGATCTGTTCCTGGGGGGCGCAGGCCCACGGGGGCCGCCGCGCACGCCATCTCTTCCAGCGCCCGCCGCCGCCGCCCTCCCTCGATGCCGCGCCGCTCTCCGCCGGCGGGCGCGCCTCGCCGACGCGACGGGCAGGCACAGAGCTGAGCTTCTTCAGGAGGGGAAAAACACACAGACACAATGAATCGTCGACTCCCAGGAAAATATGGAAAAATATGGGAAGTGGGGGGGAAGACAGAAACCCAGAAAATATGGGAAAATACGGGGAATCCTTTTATTTGTGTGTATTTATTTGTGTGTCCCAGGGCCCCTTCACTTCTCGAGGCCACGGCCTCCGCGCCATGCCCAAGACGGGCACGGGCGGGCTCCCGAGGGGAGCGCGCGCGTCTCCGGCGCCTTGCTTCGCTTCGCTTCGCTTCGCGTCGCGTCCCTCTCCCTCCTTGCCTCACCGCTCTCCCCCAATCCGCGCCATGGTGAGGGATGGGAGGGAGGGGTAGGACGTCAGATGTGACGCGAGCGCACACAGCTTGTTGCTCTCCCCCCTCCTTCTCCTCCTCGTTTGCCCTCTCGCCCTCCGCACGACCTGCCCCTTCACCCGTCTCCGTTCCCGCCGCGATTCTCTCGCGCTTCCCCCTCCCCCCGCTGCTCCCTGCTGCTCCCTGCTGCTGCTGCTGCTGCTGTTGCCCCTTCCCCTGAGGCAGATGAGTCGTAAGCGGGAGGACGGGGCGGGTTCCCGATTGAAGTCGTGCAGGAACCAGGTGCGATGCCAATCGAAAACGGAGCAGATCCCAGGATCAGAGGAGCCCTATTGAATTCGAGTCGGATTCTGACGCGAGTTCAATTTGAACTGGAAGTGGTCCCAGGTCCAGGGGGTCCGATTGACTTTGGATGGGCGTCTGAGCCACCTTCAATAGACACGGACCAGATCCCAACTCCAAAGGAATCCTGTAGAGTTTGGATTGGTTTTTGATAGGGTTTCAATGGGAGCGGTGCAGATAATTCCAGTTCCAGTGGGTTTCCATTGGAGTTGAATAGGATTTGAATCGGCTTTCGGCAAGAACGGGACATATCCCATACCGAACTAAGTCCGATGGAATCTGGACCATGTTCTGGTAGGATTGCAATTGGAAGCGAGCAGATCCCAGATCCAGAGGACTTCGATGAGTGTGGGTAGGGTTCGCATCATCTTTCAATCGAAACGGACCATCTCCCGGATCCAGGGGGAGGTGGGGGGAGGAGGAGGAGGAGGAGGAGGAGGAGGAGGAGGAGGAGGAGGAGGAGGAGGAGGAGGAGAGCAGGAGCCAGCAGTAGCAGGGGCAGACGCGGGCAGGCAGGCGGGAAGGGACGCGGGAGTAGCGTGGGCAAGGCCTCACAGGTCTCCAGTGAGGACTGCCTCGCGAGTGCGCCGTGTGCGGCCTTGCAGAAGAATCCTGCTTCTGAGCAAAATACTGCAGGGGCTGTCTTCTGAAGCGAAGCAGGTGGACATACGGATCTTCCATGTATGTTTGAACATCTCGGAAGGGAAGCCAGGTGAAGCACATTACACGCCTATTCCATATATGTGTAGAGATGTATTGGTAAGGAAGGCATGTCCAACACATATGTATCATGTTTGTTTTAAGGTTTTTTGGTGCGAACGCGCTGCAATGAGGTTGGAGGAGCAGGAGGAGGAGGGGCGCCCATCGCCAGGACATGCGTGACACACAGCTTGCATTTGTCTTCGCAGGGCCTCCGTATCACCGCCTAGAAACATTCAACACATATTGTGTTCACAGGGTTTCTTTGCCAAAACCTTCAAACCTATGTGGCGTACCTGTGCTTCCACAGGTTTCCCTGCCTGGCGCATTGTCCCTGAGGGGCGTGGGCTGCCTTACAAGATGATGATAGTCTTCTGACAATCAACGCTGGGGCTATTTTCCAAAGATCAGCATTGTGAACACACACG